ACTGTCCACAAGAATCCGACTGCAGAATTCGTGAAGGAAGGTTCATCTGCACAACTTCAAACCACTAGCAGCAGCCCACTACGACGGCGGTCCTTTAAAAGGGTGTCTAATGTACAAGGAGTCTGTGCCATCTCTGACTTACTTTCCTACGTAACTTAGTAATGTTGTAATGGCCACTGAGAAACGCTGATTTAACACATCATAAGCATAAACACACACTCTTAAATTGGCATGTCCCAAACCTTTTCAACAGCGGCTATGTACAAACGTTGGTGGTGTTAGTGCAAACCACAGAAAAATGCTACCCTGAGCTACTGATAACGCTAGCCTGGGCTACTGCTAGCGTCACATGAAAGGAAAACAACAAAGAAGGTCGGAGCACACATGTAACGTTCCAGGATGAACAGGGAACGGTAAAATGATAAATGGCCTGTATTCGTATAGCACCTTCTAGGGTTGTACAACCCCCCAAGGCACTTCACAACACAATCAGTCATTCATCCACGCACGCACACATTCACACCCTGGTGGTCATGAGCTACAACGTAGCCACAGCTGCCCTGGGGCAGACTGAAAGAAGCGAGGCTGCTGAACACTGGCGTCACTGGTCCCTCTGACCACCAGCAGGCAGTGTGGTTTAAGTGTCTTGCTCGTGGACACAACAACTGAGACAGACTGAGCGGGACTCAACCCCACAACCTTCTGGTTATGAGAGGGGTATTGAAGTCCTCTGCCCCCGTCCTCCCTGGAATATCCAGACTTTGATTGAATTCCAGATTGATCCACGGTAGGACTATTGAGTAATCCAGGTACTGAACACAGCTGTACAGAATTTCTAGCTTCAGGCAGCATCATCAAAGTAAAATGGTCAGTCGCCATGCGGCTCATTTAATATCCATGTCCTGGCCGACTGGGCAGGATCAACCAATCATTAAATTCTAGGGGTTTATTACGGGCTTGGCCATTGTGCGCCCCGACAAAGTTTCCTAGGATATAAAACGGTCTAAACAGCAATTTCCAATTCTAAAAGTAGTGTTGTTCTAAAACCCCATTAAAGTGTCCATTGTTGCTATTGGCAATATGATGCTACAGTCGCATCAAAAGACTTTAACGTGTTGTCTGTTGACACCTGACCCACATTCTCCTGGACCCTGGTGCAAGTTGGAGGGGATCTTAAAAACAGCAGCTATAAATAAGCACCTCACCAGGTATTCTATACAACAGGGAAGACTTTTAAAGCTGAGAGTGAAGAGCTTAACCTTTTTTCTGAAAGCACAGAGGGGTCAAGCTTTTGAATGTCCTTCAAATGAATACACCCAGGATTACGATGCCGTGAATGCAGGGTCTGAAATTAACACTCGCCACTCGCCAAATGCGAGCAAAGTGCTCCATTTGGCGAGTAAATTATTGAGCTCTATCTGCCACATGGCGAGTAAATGTTTGCACCAAATTAGTTATGTTTATCAGTCATCTTCCATGGATTTCTGTGATACTCCTCCCGCCTGCATGCAACGTACACAAACGTACGCGAAACGTGAGCGCCGCATCCAACGTCATTTCCACCTATCCCATTCAATCAGCTTATCAAGTTAGCAGTTAGCTTCGTGTTAAAACTAGCGGTGAAATGTGGCGGTTTTTAACCGGAGTCAGCCAGCCTTCAGAAAGAAAACTCGTCGAACTGGAAGAAAAACCACCAGGACCAGTGGCAACCAGAAGATTTTGTGAAAAGTGGCGAACTGGAGATGGCGGAGTCGTGAGACAATGGCTACATTATGATGGCCACGTAGCGTTGCTGCCTTTCACAGACACTTTTTCTGCTCGTGCTGCAAACAGGATAGCCGTCTTCTATCAGCTGTCCCTCGGCATTCTTCAAATATCCAAAAAATGCCCGTACTTCCGACTTTGTCTTCTTTGAGGGATAATAAATGTCCCGAGTGCTGCCGTCTCCTCTGGCCATTATTTCAGCTTTAGCTTAAAGAAAGTTTTGGTCGTAAACAACAAAGTGCCCAAGTGCCGCCGGCAACTTCAGCAGATGATACGGCGGCTGGTAAGGGTCACCACACCGCAGCCACGGTAATCCACCGAGATAATTTTTTTTAAAACAAGACGGTTATTATTATTGTCAACTTTTTTTACCGGGGTTTACCGCTACACCGGCTACCGTGACAACCCTAGCCCTGACACACTTTCAGATATTCTCAAGGTGCAGCTGTGTTCTCCAGAGATCAAGGACTAGGACCCAAATGAGGCTGTAATGCTTTGGCACAAAGACGGTGTCAGAAGCAGGAGGCCAGACTTCATGGACAGAGAAAACAAGGAGTCTGACTAGATTTCAATGAAAGAGTTCATAAAAACATCTCTAAAAATAAATAAATAAATAGTAAAAATGACATAAGAGTTGTTTTTCTTATTAATTGATGTTTTAATTATTTTGTCACTCTGTTTGGAATCAACATAATATAGAATAACATGCTTTAGGTAGATCTAAATCATTTAGAATTTTGGCCGGTAAAAAATATGCTCGGCCGGTAGATTTTCATCATCTACCGTCCAACTTGCCCGGTGAGCAAAAAATTTAATTTCGAACCCTGCGTGAATGTTTTCCTTCAGAAAGTTGACGGATTTCCGCTCCTGATTTTATTGAATAGTAAAGATTTTTGCTCATTTTGATCTTATATAAAATGAAAAGTGAGGAAATCTTTTGTAAATTGAGCCACTGGAATCTGTTAATGTTTGACATTTATTTATGTCCCACTTTCACATTTCCTGTGAACCCTTGCTGCTTTTGACTGATGGTAAGACTGATTTTTCAGTTAAACCTGATGGGGGGGGGGGGTGGAAACTTTAAAGATTAGAAACAGATTTTAACAAAAATGGTTTACATATAGCCAGACAAACACTCATTACTAAACCCTTCCAACTAGATTGTTCTAAATCATCTCACCCTCACAACAGCACTGATCCAACTTTTACAAAGCACTGATTTTAGGGGAAGACAACCGAGGATCTGCTGAGGGAAAAGGCTGTGATTTCTTGTTATTGTGGTACAAATGTAAGGTAAATGCTCAGCTTTTAGATTGTCAAAATGCCCAAAGTGCTGGAACTCTTCGTACCACATGAACAATCATTTTGGTGGAATTGGTGCATAGTTCTGCCACAACATCTAAAAAATTCCCATGTAACCCATTGTGGGTAACTTCCTAAATGTCTTCTGTTAGGGAAATAGTTTAAAGAGCAAGTCACCCCCAAATCAATTTTTTTTTCTGATAAACTATATAAATGTGTGTTTAATCGTGCTGCAGACACGTGTAGTCAATAGTTTTGCACTTTAGTGCATTTTAGTTAAAATTTAAATTTTCTGCCTAAAACTGTCAGTGTTGTGCCGTTGTCAGGTAAAAACTCTGCACTGCAGCTGAATTTAAATCTGCCATCGCTATTGGCTAAGAGGTACCCTAGAATGTTAGCTGGTACCATATGATGTCACAATGTCGTTGTGAGCCTGTGTGTGTGTGTGTGTGTGTGTGTGTGTGTGTGTGTGTGTGTGTGTGTGTGTGTGTGTGTGTGTGTGTGTGTGTGTGTGTGTGTGTGTGTGTGTGTGATAATTAGCGGCTCCGCCCTCTCGGTCTGCTAGGCAACAGCATTTGCTGCATTTTTCAAACAGGAAGTGGGAGTGGAGTAATACTCTGGTAGGGGGTGACTTGCTCTTTAAGACTGATGGGCTAACAGCTAGTCAGATTTCTGCTAAGATCAAAGTAAATTTCTGACTTTCAATCTGCAAAACTGCACCGTGATTCATACAAATGTTGATATTAAATGTTTACATCACTGGCTATTTTGTAATATAGTGATTATTTAAATGAAATATATGCATTTGTTTACAATAACACATATCAACAGTAGCAGCAAAATGTAGCACTTATGGTGCAGTTGGGCGGTCAAAACCTGCAAGAAATAAAGCTTCTGCTAAAAGGCAAAACACGCAGAACTATTTAAAAACATTTTGCATGAACTGCTGGAGTTGTAGAGACTGCAGCTGTTTTAGGCAGGCAGCATTCTTTTTTTGTTTTGTTCTTACCTTGTTTTATCGGTCTAAGTTGGCTTAATGAACTGACCTGTATCTGTGTGAAGTGCCTCGAGACGACTCTTGTCGTGATTCGGCGCTACATAAATAAACTTGAACTGAATTGAATAAGTTACTCCTCTGAAAAGAGTCGGTTCAGGAAGTCATTGACGATGTGTATAATCAGAAACACGCTTCAGATTCAGCTAAATGTCCCTTTAAGCAAAGAATCTGAGGAGATGTAGAAACAAATGTGTATTTATTACTAAATAACAAGATAGTAGGCAAGAGTCCAGTTTGAATACCTAAAAATGATCAAGTTAAGACAAGAACGGAGCTCTATAACATTACAGAGTGCCTTAGATCCTGAATTTGGGCTGCATTATAAAAACAATGGATCAATCTCTGCTCAAAACGTCTGAATTGTGGGTGGAAGAACTAATTTTCCTTTTTTGTAGTTCTTGATAGGCTTCAGTTCCTCAAACACGCCGCCTCGTACCAAAGAGGCTTAAAGGTTCCTCTGAAGCAATTCCAAAGGATTTCCCTACTTGACGACAGCAGCAGAGTGTTTACCGCGCTGCCAAAATGCTAAACAAGCATGACCTCCCAACATTTCTCCCCCAGCCTTTACAAACCACACTTGTCACCAGACTGCCACGCAGCAATGCTTTCAACTCAGGCTGGGTCTATTGTTACCTTTAATTATGGGGAGGGGGGTGACCTCGGCTCGGTGAGAGGCTGGAACACTTCCACAGCAGTAATAAAACCCACCAGCACAACTAAAAAAAACAAACTGGGTGCATTTCTAACGTGTTGAACAAGAAAACAAATGATAAATGTAGTTTTTTTCCACAATGATTCGATATTTCAACCAATATGAGCACAAATCTGAATCTAAATGTTGCAACTTGGCTTAAACAAGCGAGCAGACTTGACTCACCCGAGCGGACAAGTCGCAGTTGTTCTTCAGGTGACAGTCCTGCTGTTCGAGGCGCGAGCTCGTGCAGTAGTACTTCTGCTTCACGAGCCAGTCGTCGATGCCCTTCCTCGCCAAACAGGCGTTCACTACAAAACTATCGCCTGAAACACACATCGGCAGCCATGAAACTACCATCCAGCAGTAGTCGGTCCCCCCAAAACTCCGCCAAACTCTCCGCTGCGGTGCGTTTAAAACGTAGCGACTGTTTACAAAACGGGTCGAAATGTTTAGCAAATATCAAAGTAGCATCCGTGAGAGCTAAATACGTCAAAGGTGAAGAGCGCTTACCTTCTGGGCTCTCTCTTGGTTTACAAATAGCGGCTTGAGAAACAGAAAAGACAATGAATGTTACTAGAAAGTATCGCAGCTCGGATTTTTTTCCCCTTCTTTTCCCCCTCTCGGGTGTGGAAATCTTACCATGTTTCGAGTGCAGTTTACCCATTTCTATACATCGAGTTGGAGTTGAAAACCATCAGATGAATATAATCCAAAGATAGAAGAAACAGACTGCGATATCCAGAGAAAAGAGCAGACGAGCACACAATACTCGGAGTAGAGCTGTCTGAGGAGCCAAACGAGCCTTTGATCTAGAGCTAGCAAGAGAAAATGTAGCTACTGCGCTACTTCCTGTTTAGGCTTTCAAAATAAAACTCAGCAGGAATACGTTGATTGGCAAAACGAAATAAAAACAATGATTTCATAGTACTAGGTCTATATGTATTCATTTTACTCACCTAAATTGAAATTCAACCACCTTAAGAACAATTTATTGTATGTTAGAATTCACATACAGAGCTTAATTTTCGACACACTCAAGCGAAAAATTCCATTTCCGGAACTAGATACGTAATTTACGTTAACTTGATGCAAACTTTTCCAGCTTCCCCCAGCTCGAGTCACGTAAAGGCGCTTAAGAGGTGACAGTGATTTTTAACTTCGGACCTCTGGAGAAAGACGGCCGGGTGTTATTTATCCGCAGAGTAAACGCGTGCAGCGCACGTATGCGTGAGTTTCTGCGGCTATCCCAGTTTTTACGTTCAGCTTTCATCACATTGACTTCTAATCACAACGTGCAGTTTGACACGTTTCACGAGAGACAATAAAAGTGCAAACAGCAAATAAAATCAAATCAACTTTATTTATACAGCACTTTTCATACAAAAAATGCAACTCAAAGTGCTTCACAGATTACAATGGCCCCATATATCCTATATTCCCATCCCAGCCCCCCTCCCCAAGTATAAAACAATTGACAATTGAAGTTCCCCTCCTGCAACCAATTTCCAAGGTGAACGTACACTCACCCACACACTCGCGCGGCACACACACACACACACACACACACACACACACACACACACACACACACGTGAACAACAGAGTAAACAATAGGCTGAGTTCAGATGGGTCAGGTAATGGACACACATCATCAGCGGAGCCATCTGCCTCGACAGCAACAGATCCACGGCAGCAGCCAAGACACCAGCCCATGACGCCCAGGGAGGGAGGGCGGAGACCCCCACCACTGCCCGGGCACTACCCGAGGAGCGCCCCGGTGTCGGTACAAGATCTGCTCGGGTGCAAAATCGGCTCGGGGTCCTTCCACTGCCGATGACGTCAAAGTACGGTAAACCCACTCGGACAAAATACACCACACATCTATACTGTTGGAAAGAATTTAGCTGTTTCGTAATTAAAATAATGTTTCTTTTGACGTAAGTTTGTGTTTATAATGGTATTTGTAACATAAAACACTATATTGTATTCATAATGTTGAATTCCTCTTTGAGCACATCCCTTGAAGGATCGTAGGTATTAGCAACACCTGTGAAATAGTAGTGTGTCCCGTTTATTGAAGTATTTTGTGTTTAGAGTTTTTGACGTCTTGTCCATGCGTAGTTCAGTTACGCTCATAGCTGCTAGCCAAAACTCTGGAGTTAAAAGTTTTCTGGCTTTACTAAAATACCTGTCTGTACTTATTTGATTGATGGTAGTTTTACTTTCTATTAGACTCCAAATGTAATCATTTGGCACGTTTCTAATTCATAATTTGTAATAATGTAATGATATTAGCATTAGCATTCCTATTGGTTTTTCCATGTATATTAGCATTGCGCTAGCCACTCGTTGCCAAACTGCAGCCTTTGCGATTAGAAAATCTCCTTTTGTCACATCGCAATTTAATTGCACATGCAGTTAATCGTTCAGCCCTAATATACATGCAGCTCTATGCTAAAAGTGTATTTTCAAAGAGGTAATGATGGATTTCTTTGTAAAAGTTGTCCATCTTTCCAACAGAAAGATTTGCCTGGACCAACGTAACGTGATTACGTAATTCTGTAAGGTTCATGTTCAGCCAATCAACTACTTAGACGTCATCGGCAGTCGACGGACCCCGAGCCAATTTTGCACCCGAGCAGATCTTGTACCGACACCGGCCGCCGCCGCCCGAAGGCAGAGGGCTCCGCAGAGGAAACACTGGAGGATTAAAATATATAACTGTAAAATAACAAAAGCTAATATGGATAGAAAGTAACTGATAAAAAGTTATTATAAAGATAGTAAAAGAAAACATAATCATATGAAAACACTAAGATGAAAATAAAATAATAAAATGAAGTAAAAGAGATAAATAGGTATATATATAAATAAACAAATATGACAAGTGATACAGTTACACATACTAGATAAATAGTAATCAGTTAAAAGCTAAGCTAAAAAGGTGGGTCTTCTTAAGCCTATTCTTAAAAGCCTGGACGTTCCCTTCGGCCCTGAGGTCCTCCGGCAGCCCTTTCCAAAGGGGACCCTAACCCACCCTCAGCTCCACCTCTCTTCCCTTTTGTGGAATTGTTTGGGCTTGACAGAACCTGTGACACGGTCAAAATGGCGGTGGTGGCCACCTCCCATTTGGCCTCAAAAATGTGTTATTGGAGTCTATGGAAACCCATTGTCCAATATTTATATGTCGATGAGCTAACCCAAAGCTAACGCGGAGGTGGGAGCTAAGCTAACGGAGGTAGCAACCTAGCTACAACCGGAGTTAACTGTGCACAACACCAGAGCTTCTGAGTCAGAGATACACCGGGCTGACCGCTGGGTAAAACCGGGTGGAACACAGAGGTCTCCCGAAAGCTCCACAAGCCGGCAGCTGCACAGCAGACAAGCGCTGCTGCGATCTGAGATGCGCAGAGCTGCCGCTGGGGAGAACCGGGTGAAAAGCTTTCCATCCCAGAGCTCCACAAGCCGGCAGCCTGCACAGCAGACAGAAGCCGCGATCAGACAGAGATGCGCCGAGCTGCGGGGAGGGGAGAACCGGGTGGAAAACATCGGTCTCCCGAGAGCTCCACAAGCCGATAGTGGGAACCCAGCTCCACCAACATGTTATATTTCAACCCATTTTCTAAAGTGCAGCATTATGTTAAATGCACTGGGTTTTACCCTATTACATTTAAATTTCATGGTTAAACAGTACATGTTAAAATCTAAGCTCAGCTCGGCAGTGACCTAAAATACATAAATATAATTTTACTTACTGAAAAAAATGAAGGGGAGCCTCCTTGGACGCTCTATTAGTGCAATTAATGCCACAGCAAGTCATTTTGACCAACAATTGCACAAATAATATCCAAAACAGAAAACACAAACACAGAGACTCTAAATCCCGGAACAGTTTCCAAGCCAGACCGAGGCTCTACTGACGCCTTTCAACGGAGCTAGCTCTGTGGTCACATGGGTCTGAGGCGGCGGTCACGTGGGTCTGATGCTCATTAATTATACAGAATTTTAGGCTTTTAATACATTTAAACAGAAGAGTGAGAAAAAATTCACCCCCTCAGAGTTGTCATGAGTGTAAACTAGATCATTTAAACCAAAAACATGTTTTGGTACCAGGCTGTAAACATGTTTATTTCTGCTGTGAAATTGGTATTTTTAACATGGGAGTCAATGAGGATTTGCTCGCTTCTGACACCAGCCCCTAGTGGATGAGAGCGGAACTGCAATTTTTGTCACCTCCGCCTCACCTTGGCCTCAGTCTTTCACCCGCAATGTGGGGACTTGTATGATTCCCAATATCTGTTGGCAGATTCACGTGTCTATATTTGCCGGTTATTGTGAGGATTGACCCTACCCAGAAGCTCTGGGTTGTGAAAAACCTCAGTGGTTTTAACCGTCTGGCAGGCGTTGCAGATTTGCAGCAGTTAAAACCTACCTACCTGGTTACTCCACACACGTATTTCATGAGCATTTTTAACTCAGAAGTGCCCGTCCTTTTATCCAAACTTATTTAGAGCCTGAGAAGGTTAACACATAGCTGTTTGAGCCTCTGCTAGAGCATACGGTGGTCACAGGCTCCGAAAACAGGTGGATCTGAGCCATTACCTGCTGCTTTTGCTTCTGTGATGTGGCTGACAGATGAAAGAAAGGAAAAACAAGAGTCTGCTTTTTTTTTAAATAGCTGCCTTCTTAGATTTTCCAAGTTGTTGAATGAGCCAACATGTTTGCAGTCGTGCTGCTTGTAATACAGTTTGGACCAGTTGTAATTTTCCTTTCCACGCAGCGGCCCGTCAGTAAATGAACTCTGTGTGGTCAGAAGGATGTTTAGTAAGACTCAGTTTGGTTGAAAGTTTTCCAGCATCTTTTTTTCTTCCACGACTTCTAATGTGTCCAGTTTGCAGCCAACCTTGATCGTAAGATCATGTTTAAAGGTTGGTTTAAGGTTGGTTTATGCTTGAGGCATCCGCGAGGTCCGCACGGCTCCACGCGGAAAAGTTGCGTCATTTTGCGTCATCTTAACAACCACGCCCCTCCACTGCGCCTCCGCACAGCCCAAAATTTCCGCAACGCGCACCTAGGAAATTTTCTAACCACGCGGACGGTCGGACGTGGAAAAACATGGCGGACTGGCAAGAACTAGTACGGCAGAGGTTCGTAAATACAGACATTTGTATGATTCAGCTCTCAGAGATCACCGTGATCAACATGTTGTTAATAATTCTTGGAGAGAAATAGCTCGCACTGTCGGAAAAGACGGGAACGCTGTTAAAAATGCTGACATGCCATGTTGTAAACAGTAATTTCTACTTCAACTATGGTGCAGTGTTGGATGCATGCCGTGGAGCTCCATGCTGCCCCCTACAGTTTGGGAGAATATTGGCTCACCGCAGAGACAAGCCGCATGAACCGTAAACGCTGCGAGTTGTGAAGCGCGTTCCATCCGCGAACCGCATCACCAAGCGGACAGTAAATGCGTCAAGCATAAACCAAGCTTTAGGGTTGCTGGTTCCAATGTTCCCAACAAAAGTGCACAACAAAAAAGAGCTAACTGACCACAACAAACAACCTGAGCTTCAATGGGTGTGACACTAAAAGGCACTACATCGCCTCCAACCTGCCGATGCCTTTGAGAAAACAGGCAAGACTAGAAAAAAAGTGAGGCGTTCTTGTTTTGTTAAACAAACAAAAAACAAAAGAATTATCCTCTCTGATAGGTTCTTTAGGTCAAAATCAAACCAGTGATCTTTCTCTTTGGGGTCACTGACATGAGAATAAGAGTTTTATTGGGCCAAGGTGGGAGATGAAAGCAAGCTAAGAAGCTTTTGATGTCTTCAG